CACACACACACACACACACACACTGGAATTTCAATAACACCCCCCCCCCCCACACACACACACACACACGTGCTCGCACGCGCGCGGTCGCACACACCTTCCAGAGCTCAGAGCCCAGCGGACAGATATGTATTCTCCGCTATGTCTGACCCAGGTGAGTCCCTTTACCTCCGGCTGTCTGCCAGCGGCTGCGTGCTGCCGCCGGAGCGCCAAACTTCCTCCACAGCCCGGTCTACATTTACCGGGTCTGGCAGGGATGTGTTCCGGTTCGGTTCGGCCCGGTGGCGTCCGACGCCGTTACCCGGGAAGCTCTGTCAGGCTCAGGGCTGTAATTGGACTGAGACAGATCTGATAGGAACCAGAATTTGGACTCCGAACCGGCGGGTTTTTCCTCTTCTTTGGTTCTTAAACTTTGCAGCTGTGCCGCGCAGGAAGCGGGAGAAACGGCCGGTTTTCCGGTCCTGATTCCGGCCGTGTTTCGGTCACCTGTGGGCGTCTGAGCAGGAAGCCCGGTTTTCTTCATGAAGCCTGCCTTCCTGCAGCTGTTCGGGTCGGAACCGAACCTGCGGCCTGCAGCAGAACTCCAGGAACTGGAGGTGTTCTGAGGTGATTCCACGGACCGATCCGGATGACTCCTGGCTTCTTCCTAAATTTAAACCTCATAAACACCTAAAGTCCTGCTGCAACCTGCAGGGTTGCATTCAGGGTCAGAGGTTAAAATCAGCTTTTAGAGTCTCCCTTCGTGTTTCTGAGGGAAACGGGGACAGCCAGGATTAAATCCTCAGAACTAATTGGGCTGATTTTATTTTTATTCCTGCATCAGACACAAATATTTAAATTGATCCGTTTCTGTGAAATCCTTTTTAATCTGAGCAAAGGCTTTAATAAATTACATTTAGATTAAATCCCAGAGCTGAATAATTACTGGCTGTGCTGCTAAATCAGAAGGGATGAGATTTATTGATAATTCAGGAACATTTGAATGAAATCTGCTGTTTTCTCCGCAGAACCTTTTGTTGCTCTGATCCGCTAGATGTTCTTGCAGGAACGCTGCTAAATCTGGAGCTTCGCTGTGTTTGAAGTTGGTCTGAAGCTGCAGCAGCAAACAGGAGCGCTAATCAGATTATCAGCCTGTTAAACCAATAATCAGCAGCCTGACTGACTGACTGCTGGTTCTAATCCCGCTCAGCTGCCGTCAAACACTTTTCACTCTTTGGTTTTAACTGCTGCAATGTTTAAAAAAAAAAGAAAAAACAAAGATTTTCTCCAAGTGTTGAAATTGTTAATTGTAAATAATCGGGCCTTTCTTTTTTCTAAGTTTTATTGAGATGACGTCAGCGGTTTCTGCCCAGCCATTAGGGGGCATCTTTTACGATATCTCCTGTTAAATTCGATAAATTTCTGAACAATATTTGTTCATTTAATTCTGTTGTTTGTGGAAATTATTAAGCAATAAACAGAGCAGAAATAGAAATAGAATTACTGAATTCAAGAGGTTTAATTTTGTTTAACATTTTAAATATTTAATTTTTAGGGTTTTTTACACCATTAATTTGAATATTTTTGTGGCTGTGATTTTATTTACCACAGAAAACAAAATGGAATAAAATAAAAATATGTATCTTTACATTCAGGGGTAGCAGCAGCATAGAAGAAAATGATTAAAAATAAAATCAAAATCAAGAATAATTTACTTTGCAGTGAAGACAAGATTAAATCCAGGAGGTTCTGCTGCTGGTTCTGGTTCTGCAGTTGGAATAAAATCTAAACCTGCAGATTTTAATCCCTGATTG